CTTGCTTCCTCCTCTGGCTGCCTCTGTATCAGAGGCAGCAGTGGCGGGGGCAGGAGAGCCTGACATGAAACAGCCTCTGCCCACAAGGGGTCCCAGCTCCTTGCTGGGGCCCCCCCCGTGGACAGGGGCTGCTGCCACAAAGCAGCCCGTGTTGGTGGTGGCCCGGAATGACTGCAGACAGAGGCTGCTCTGGTAGCAGCCCCTGTCCTCTGAGACTCCTGTGGTCAGAGGCTGCTACTGCGAAGCAGCACCTGTCCCCGGTGGCCTGCTGGAACCTACCCCTGCTGCAGCTCTGCAGCTTAAATGTACTAAGAGCCGGGTGGGCAGGCAGCCCTGCATTTAAAATGCAGAGCTGCAGCCGGCGTAGGTCCCAGAATCAGCGTGAGCTGGGACTGAGCTGGGCTGCCTTCCCTTATCAGCTATTGAAGTAGTCGATAAAAATTCTGTCAACTTCTCAATTAGCCTATTAACTGCGTCTTCACATCTCTAGTTTGTCTGCTCCTTGTGCTTTCCAGCTGGACTGAGGAATGGATCAAACTGTGCGCTTTCCTGTTGCTCCCTGATGAAGGAGAACAGCCAATGAATTTGGGGATGGGTGGAGCTTCAGACCCTCCACCCCCTTCCCTCCCTAAAAGGCACATGGATGGTGGGAGCATCAGGCAGTCCTAAGGGGGTGTGCCTCCATACAGCCTCTTCCATCAGCCTGGTAATTCTCTTTTCTGGTATTCTCTTTTCGTATGGTTTTATGAGAAGCAATCCCATTCCAGGTACATCCCATTTTCCTGGCACAACCAAACTCTTACATTGTTTTACAGTACAGTAAGAGGAAGCTGTATACCACGTTTGGTGCTCTTAGTTCTTACTGTTTGGGTGAATAGCCAGTTACACAGACAGACAAATGCTCTCAGATGTGTAGTAGACTAGCTCACCAGTTAGGCTTGTAAAATTGGCAAAAAGCAGTCATCATTAGCATAGTGTTTCAGTTCTCTGTTCTGCTAGTCAACAGATAGACTTGAATTCAGAGTGACAAGGTTCAGGCTACTCTTGGGTTGATTGTATATTGCCTGGGTCATTTCTTTTATGGACAGAATTGTGGATTCAGGTAGTAGACTGTTTGCTTCTCTGGGAGAAAAGAAAATGACTGTTCTGTGAATAGCAAGGTCTAATTTATCAGATCAAATGGCAGAGTAACGGCAGTGAGATCTATACTGTACATGAGACAGACACCCACACGCTGTCTGTCTGTGCAATGCCAATATTATTATTTGAAACAAGCCACTGTTATCAATGCCGGAGGGAATGCTGAAGTACCTCAACCTGCCAGGAGTGCAGTTTGTAGATCAATTAGCAGCTTTTCAGGCACCTGGGTTCAATCAGCTGCTTCTGCAGAGCATACATGCTAAGATAGCAATGACAGATAAAGCTAAGGCTTCTCCCTGACAGATCACACTGAAATGACACATACTGGCATTGATATGAATCACAGGAACTGATGATGACATGCTGCATAACTAACCTGTCATATGCTGTGCTGTGAGCTAATGTGTCAACAGTCCACAAACCATGTTACAGCATTGGAAGCAAATTAAAATATCAGAGAGGCTACATTATCTGACATTTACCACCTGTCCATTTTTATAGGAAGAATTGTCACTTTATTTTATAACCACGGCTTAGTTTTCTGTTTGTTTGCTTATGGGATTTATTCCACTTCTGAGGAAAAGCCTGCAGAGTTTAAAAGTATTGCACTTCCACTTGTATTTATTTTTAATCTTGGCTAAAATCAACTTTCCATCTATCCAATATTTATTTTCAAAGACTCATTTTCTCCATTTTTAAAATCAAATATTTTATTGGTAAAATAAGTGTACACAACTTTTGCATTCACATCTTTGGTTTTAAATATTTTACATTTGTGTAACATACATTAATTTTTTTGCAAAAGAAGGCTACATGAGTTGATCTACAAACATGATTAATTTGAAGCATTGCTTCAGGATTAATTCAAAACAGCTCCTAAGATCATACTCCTTGTCTGTTGCTCTGAATCAGAGGCAGCAAATAGAGAGGGGAGCTGGAGCTGGTGCCTGGGAGGAGCTGGCTTTAAGCAGACTCTCCATGAGCACAGGATCTGCCCGCCTCCCCACCGGTGCACCCGATAGAGAGGCCACAGCACAGAGCATGAGTGGGGCAGATGAGAGCCAAAACACATGGGGAGCCAGCTTTCAAGCAGGATTCCCATGCTTGCCAGTTCTGCAGACCCACTTCCCTCCCCCCCTGCTTGCTCCTACAGAGGCAGTAAAGGGGGTAATACAGGAGCCATTGGTGTGGGGAGCCAGCTTAAAAGCTGGTTCCTCCCAACACCAACACTGTGGTACTGCCTGCCTCCACCCCAGGCTGCTGCCTCCATTAGAAGTAGCAGCCGGGAGTGACAGGGGAGGTTGCTGTAAAGCAGCTTCTGTTTGCGGTGGCCCGGGCTTGCCGCAGGCAGAGGCTGGTCTGCGGCAGCAGCTCCTGTCCGTGGGGGATCCGAGCTTCCAGCCTTTGTCTGCGGGAAGCTCTGACGCCCACACACTCAGCAGCTGCTGCCACCTTGCACTGCTGCCTCTGATACAGAGGCAGCAGCGCAAGGTGGCAGGGGGCTCCCCAGGAGCATGCTGGGAGTGCACTGACTGCTAGCTCCACCCCAGGGACCTATTGAATAGTCATGTAACTGCTAAGATTTCATGCGGTTACATGACTATTCAATTACACTCTGTCTCACATCCCTAGCAAGAATCATGTCTGATGTGTTTGCACAGTTCCTAGCACAATGGGGTCTTATCCTGGCTGGGATCTCTAAATACCACAGGAGAATAAATACTACTTTTGATAACAGCGTTATGAAGAAATAAAGTCTGGGAAATTGTTTCAGTGGGAAAGAAAAAGCAGACGCCTTTATCAGGATTAAGTAGTTTTTATAATATGTAGTTACCAAACAAAATAAATGAACAAAATAACAAAATAAGTACACACTTGTTACGTTGTGTCAAGAGAGGTTTCAGCACCACATGCATCTATTACTTTAGCAGGCAGTGCTGAAAATAAAAGCATGAAGAACCTAGAATATTAAGCTCATGTTGTGATTTAAGTTAAGTTCCCATTGACAATTGAATCATTTTAAGAAACATGATGTAGTATTTGGTCTTTTTAACACTTTATAATATTGACTTTGCATAACATAAGAATGGCCATACAGGGTCAGATTAATGGTCCATTTAGTCCATTATCCTGTCTTCTGATACTGGCCAATGCCAAGTGCCCCAGAGGGAATGAACAGACTAGGTAACCATCAGATGATCCATTCCCTGACATCCATTCCTAGCTTCTGGCAAACAGAGGCTACGGACACCATCCATCCCCATCATGGTTTATTAGTTATTGAAAGTCTTATCTTCCATTAACTAGTCTAGGTCTTTGTTGAACCCGGTTATGATCTTCGCCTTTACAGTATCCTATGGCAATGAGTTCCACAGGTTGATTGTGTGTTGTGTGCAAAAATACATCTTTGTTTTTAAGCCTGTTGCTTGTTAATTTCATTTGGTGACCCTTAGCTCTTGTGTCATGAAAAAAAGTAAATAACATTTCCTTATTTTTTTTCTCCATACCAGTCATGATTTTATAGAGCTTTATTATATCCTTCTTTTAATCCTTTCTTTTCTAACCTGAAAAGTCCTGGTCTTATTAATTTCTCCTCATATGGCAGCTGTTCCATTCCCCTAATCATTGTTGCTGCCCTTTTCTGAACCTTTTACAATTCCAGTATATCTTTTTTGAGATAGAGTGACCAGATCTTCATGTAAGTATCCAAGATGTGAGCATACCATGGATTTATGTAGAGACAATAGGATATTTTCTGTCTTATTCTGTGTCCCTTTCTTAATGATTCCCAGCTTTGTTAGCATTTTTGGCTACTCTGCACAGTGGGTGTTTGAGAGAACTATCCGCTCTGACTCTTAAGACAGGTGTGTGGGCAATAATTTTTGATGGGAGACACTCTTAAGAATTTGGAAAGTAGCCAAGAGCCTCACTTGTCCATATTAATGGAGAAGGTGCGGGGTCTGGTATGGCGGTTGAGTGAAAAGGGAAGCTTGCAGTAACGAATTGGGGTGCAGGAGAAGGTGTGGGGTCTGGGAGGGAGTTTGGGTGAAAGAGGCAATTTTGACCTGAGTTAGGGGACTAGGGTGCAGGGGTTTGAGTTGTGACCTTCAGCAAGAGGGGTTTTTGACTTGGAGCAGGGGACTGGGGTGCAGGGGTTTGGGTTGTGACCAGGGGCAGGGGATTGGGCTACAGGAGCTGTGAGGGGATATGCAGACGGGGGGGGAGGGGGCAGAAGGTTTGGGTTATGTGGGGTAAGGGAGCAGAGGTTTGGGGTGCCAGAGGCAGTATCTGGCTGGGAGACTTAGCTACTTGACTCCAGCTAGCAGCCTTCTCAAGCAGACTCCCTGCCTTCCCCATCCCTGCACTGGCTGCAGGGGCCATGTGGTTTTTGAACAGCTAAGAGCCAGAGGGTGCTTCTCAGGCTGCCTGTTGACAACAGGCAGCTCCCATTGGCTGGGAACTGGCCAGTGGGATTGTGCTGGGGCCGGAGCAGTACCTGAAGCTTTCCCCCTCTTATCTGGGCTCACAGCTGTTCAAACAGAGCCCCGCAAGTCTGCAATGGCCCCTTTTCTCAGCAGCATGCGGGGATAGCGGGGCAAGCAGGGAGTCTGCTCAAGGCTCCCTGCTGCATCCGTGGGCCAGATCTGGTGGCTTCGCAGGCCAGATCCCACCTGTGGGGAGGGTATTTTGCCCAGGCCTGCTCTAAGATCTCTCTACTGAGTGGTAACAGATAAGAGCCCATCATTATGTTTTCAAATGTGCATTACTTTGCATTAATCAACATTGAGTTTCATCTCACATTTTGTTGCTCAGTCACCCAGTTTTCTTATATTCTGATCATCTTACAATTTTAATTGCAGGAAACGTGAAGAAGAAAATAAGAGGAAAGAAGCAGAACTTCTGAAGGGAATGCAGAACGTGGTACTCAATAGGGTGCAAGTACAGCCACATCCTACAGATAGAGAGAAGAATAACAGAACTCCTAGCATTCCACAGCTGTCCAGCAAACAAATTGATGTGCATAGTAATAACAGGCTTTTCCGCAGTAACATTTCTCAGAATCAAACAGGGAAAAACAACAGAAGATCATCAGCAACTTCTGAAAACAAAATGACACCTAAGGAAAAATGTTCATCTGCAGAACTACCAGGTGAAGATAACAAGAACAAAAAGGGTTTGTAATCAATGAATTAGCCAGACTAACTATGTGGTGGATGTCCAATGAGACTCTAGAGATGGGTTCTCTCTGAGCATTTCCATCATGAGAGCAAACACATCGTGCTCCCTCTTCGTTTGTTTTTATCATTTAAACCAAGACATACAGGATACTAATATATTCATTTGGCTATTATTCATATTTTAGTATGCAAGTTCTGTCAGTTAATATGGTCATAATTAGAAACATTTATTATGTGTCTAAGACTTTCTATTTAAAATGTTTCTAGACAGGTGATTAGTAGTGGAGCTTCTTAGTTTACCTGGGGTTCTGTTTCAAATAAAGGGAGCTGACTGCTAAGTTATCACTTAAACACCTGTCTTTATTTCTGTCCTTTTGACCAGTTATTTCCTATCCTATATAAGTGGGTATAAATTGTTTTGTGTAAGCAGAGGTTTGGGGTGCCAGAGGCAGTATCTGGCTGGGAGACTTAGCTACTTGACTCCAGCTAGCAGCCTTCTCAAGCAGACTCCCTGCCTTCCCCATCCCTGCACTGGCTGCAGGGGCCATGTGGTTTTTGAACAGCTAAGAGCCAGAGGGTGCTTCTCAGGCTGCCTGTTGACAACAGGCAGCTCCCATTGGCTGGGAACTGGCCAGTGGGATTGTGCTGGGGCCGGAGCAGTACCTGAAGCTTTCCCCCTCTTATCTGGGCTCACAGCTGTTCAAACAGAGCCCCGCAAGTCTGCAATGGCCCCTTTTCTCAGCAGCATGCGGGGATAGCGGGGCAAGCAGGGAGTCTGCTCAAGGCTCCCTGCTGCATCCGTGGGCCAGATCTGGTGGCTTCGCAGGCCAGATCCCACCTGTGGGGAGGGTATTTTGCCCAGGCCTGCTCTAAGATCTCTCTACTGAGTGGTAACAGATAAGAGCCCATCATTATGTTTTCAAATGTGCATTACTTTGCATTAATCAACATTGAGTTTCATCTCACATTTTGTTGCTCAGTCACCCAGTTTTCTTATATTCTGATCATCTTACAATTTTAATTGCAGGAAACGTGAAGAAGAAAATAAGAGGAAAGAAGCAGAACTTCTGAAGGGAATGCAGAACGTGGTACTCAATAGGGTGCAAGTACAGCCACATCCTACAGATAGAGAGAAGAATAACAGAACTCCTAGCATTCCACAGCTGTCCAGCAAACAAATTGATGTGCATAGTAATAACAGGCTTTTCCGCAGTAACATTTCTCAGAATCAAACAGGGAAAAACAACAGAAGATCATCAGCAACTTCTGAAAACAAAATGACACCTAAGGAAAAATGTTCATCTGCAGAACTACCAGGTGAAGATAACAAGAACAAAAAGGGTTTGTAATCAATGAATTAGCCAGACTAACTATGTGGTGGATGTCCAATGAGACTCTAGAGATGGGTTCTCTCTGAGCATTTCCATCATGAGAGCAAACACATCGTGCTCCCTCTTCGTTTGTTTTTATCATTTAAACCAAGACATACAGGATACTAATATATTCATTTGGCTATTATTCATATTTTAGTATGCAAGTTCTGTCAGTTAATATGGTCATAATTAGAAACATTTATTATGTGTCTAAGACTTTCTATTTAAAATGTTTCTAGACAGGTGATTAGTAGTGGAGCTTCTTAGTTTACCTGGGGTTCTGTTTCAAATAAAGGGAGCTGACTGCTAAGTTATCACTTAAACACCTGTCTTTATTTCTGTCCTTTTGACCAGTTATTTCCTATCCTATATAAGTGGGTATAAATTGTTTTGTGTAAATAGCTGTGTTGCCCTCCTAAGCAATTAGTATTAAGTGCAGTGTTGCTTTATATTAAGAAAAAAAAACTCATTCGACATACATTTGGGTTTTCTGGTGAACTTCAATGGGAAAATTGCTAATGTTATTTTTGTATATAGACAGTCTGTGCAAGATGAAGGTCCTCAGCACATAGCAGGACTGCGGAGGCTGCTGCCAGTGTGGCAGAGCATGCCTAGAGTGCCATATCCAGGCATTTTCCCCATTGTATTTGAGGGAACTTGCACCTTGAAGACAGTAGGAGGAAGCAGAATTGGTGCTTCCCTGCGAACAAGCACTGTGATTACTCCTCTCATCCCCAGTTGTGCAAGATGTTCTGGAGGGCACCACATTCCTTCTTGCTCCTCCCACACACACATTCCTTTCCTCTATCCCCAAAATATCTGTGAAAATGTCTTTCTAGGGAAACTGCAAGATTTATTTCTCTTATAATCTTCTATCATATTAAGAAAAGATTTACAAGGAGGAGAGCTAAAAGTACACGTACATTAGAATTGTTTGAGCTGAATTTCTAGTACATGCTTAGCCATCCAAAAAAACAAATAACAGAATATTATCCAAACACAATTAATAACTGAGCCACTAGTGAGAAAAACTAGTAACTTCTTGATTTATAAGACTAGTGTATGGTCTTCACCTTAGCTATATTGCGAAAGAATTGTACAGCTGTAATTGAGGCCATTGTAACCTGCCATCCAGCAACCTCGGACTCCAAGAACTCTTGCTGGTGTCTCAGATGTAAAATTATCCCCACCTCCTGTCTGTTCTTCAGACATCTGAACATCTATTATTATGTAGCAAAGAAAAAGGAAGTTAAAGATCTGTTTCTTCAGAGTCATCACCCAAAGTTCTTTACCTTGGGAGCAGGAAAACAGCCTACCAGACAGCATAGCAAAATCAAATGAAAACTTTCTCTCTTGGTCAAACATTTTAATGATTGGGCTAAGTATTGGGTAACGATAAAAAATAGTAGTGTAAATCACAGCATATACTGTACAGTAAATGCCTTCTCTCGTAAACCCCTCATTAAAATGCTAAAATTGCAAAGGCAACTAAAAAGTCAAGACTTGTCAGAGATAAGTTTTTCCATTGTAGAATAAATATTTATGGCAGCTATAGAAGGGAAATATGGGAGGGCAAAGCTAAGGCATGGAAAAGGGACAAAAAGCTTGAAAGAAGCAAAAAAAAAAAAAAAAAAAAAAAAAGAGGAAAGGGAACCCAAAAAAAAGTATAAAAAATTCAAAGGAGGAATGAATTCTATTTTCTTTCAACCTCTCATAAGTCCATTTTCCTGATTTTTCACCAAATCATGTTTCAGGATTTGCTCACAGTGACATGCTCCTGCTGGTTGACTTTTTATAAAATGCAAGTATCACAAAATGGAGGGTTCTATCTTTCATGTCCATAATTTAGTTATAAACTATTATTTAAGCTCTCAAACAGTTAACTTCCAGTTAACCTACTAACCCCCCCCCCCCCACCACCACCACCACACATGCACACACAGAGTTTAATAAGCTTCTAAAATGACAGGAATCTGTTGATAAGAGGTTTGTTGTAGCTAGTGTTGGTCCCAGGATTTTAGAGAGAGAAGGTGGGAGAGGTAATATCTTTCATTGGACCATCCTCTCTTGTTGAGCGAAATGAGCTTTCAATTTTACACAGAGCTCTTCTTCAGGTCTGAGAAACTTAGAGAGTCACAGCTAAATACAATGTGAAACAGATGTTTGACCGAAATAGTTAACACACATTTCAAGATTATGTGGCCTGTTAACACTATTCCAATCATAGATAGGGAAGGGAAGGGGGAAAAAATCAGCGGAGGGGTGAGGGTTGTTAGTGGGTTATAGCTTGTTGAAATAAACAGTAAATCCAGTGTATCTCTTCCATGATTCCTATGTGCACAATTTTTAGCATCTAGCAGTGTTATGAATTTAAGCTCCTAGGCTCACCTTTTGAAAGTGTTGTGCAGGTTTATTTTGAGGATGAGAACTGGCAGGTGAACAGGGGCTGATAACAGCGAGTTTTGAGAGGGAGTTCTCCAGGAGAGAAGGTGCTAATACAGGACCCTTGAGGAAAGTGACTATCTGTAGTGTGTGTTTGTGTTTGGGGGTTTCTTGCTGTGTGCTGAGCTTGTGTTTGTTTAACTGGGATTTGGTTGTGGGATTTTTTTCTCCTCGTCCCCTTCCCCTCCCCCCCCCCAAGGAGTGCGTGCTGTGGCTGGCAGGTGGAAGCTGTGAGCTTCACATCAAGGTTTGAAATCTAGACGTCTCTGCTCATTGGTTGAGCCTTAATCAGGGGAGGGGCTATCAGGCAGTCCAGGGCTTTCTATAGCAGTGAGTCAGCGACCAGGGAGCTTGCAAACAGAGGCTGATAACAGGGAGTTTTGAGAGGGAGTTGGGAATGGGGCACGATACACTCGCCATTCTTTAAAAACTTTTCATTAAACTATTATCAAAACTTCCTGAGCTCTGGTGGGCCTTCAGGGCTTGATTGCATCAGAGGCAAGGCTTGGAGCCGGGCCTACTCTTAGCCTTCTAAAAAAGGCAGCCAAAGTGAACGCAGAGAGCAGCGAACAGGGCAGCAGCCAACACAGGAGTTTACCTGGGAATTCACCCTGGGAGACCCCGATAGTGTTTGGTGCTCTTTTCCTTGAAGAATTTTTTTTTCTCTCTCCTGCTCTTCAAGGAAAATGCAGGACAATGTAGCACTTTAAAGACTAACAAGATGGTTTATTAGATGATGAGCTTTCGTGGGCCAGACCCACTTCCTCAGACTTCCCACCCCCCCGCCTCCTCCTTCTGTTCTGCAATGTGATTTGTCCTTTTCATATTTGTTCTTTTTTTTAATTGTATCCTTTGGTATATATGGTTGTGACTACTTTCTTCCACTATTTGATCTGAGGAAGTGGGTCTGGCCCACGAAAGCTCATCATCTAATAAACCATCTTGTTAGTCTTTAAAGTGCTACATTGTCCTGCATTTTGCTTCAACTACCCCAGACTAACACGGCTACATTTCTATCGCTCTTCAAGGAGACATTTAATAAGATCTTAGGAATCTCTTGGAAGGAAGGAAGGTATGTATGGTGATAGGTCTGCTGTTGCTACCTGCACAGCATGTGCCATGTTTGTCTTCCTCCCAGAAGAAAGAAGGGATTTTATCGGCACTAAGTGCACGCTGGTCGC